CACCCAGCAAGATCACCCCCCCCCCCACCCCAACACCCAGCAAGATCACCCCCCCACCCCAACACCCAGCAAGACCCACCCCCACCCCCAACACCCAGCAAGATCACCCCCCCCCACCCCAACACCCAGCAAGATCACCCCCCCCCCACCCCCACACCCAGCAAGATCACCCCCCCCCCACCCACCCCCAACACCCAGCAAGATCACCCCCCCCCCACCCAACACCCAGCAAGATCACCCCCCCCCACCACCCCAACACCCAGCAAGATCACCCCCCCACCCCAACACCCAGCAAGATCACCCCCCCCACCCACCCCAACACCCAGCAAGATCACCCCCCCCCCCCAACACCCAGCAAGATCACCCCCACCCACCCCAACACCCAGCAAGATCACCCCCCCCCACCCACCCCAACACCCAGCAAGATCACCCCCCCCACCCCAACACCCAGCAAGTTCACCCCCCCCCACCCACCCCAACACCCAGCAAGATCACCCCCCCCCCCCCAACACCCAGCAAGATCACCCCCCCCCCCCCCCAACACCCAGCAAGATCACCCCCCCCATCCCAACACCCAGCAAGATCACCCCCCCACCCCCAACACCCAGCAAGATCACCCCCCCCACCCCAACACCCAGCAAGATCACCCCCCCACCCCCCCAACACCCAGCAAGATCACCCCCCCCACCCCCAACACCCAGCAAGATCACCCCCCCCACCCACACCCAACACACAGCAAGATCACCCCCCCCCCACACCCAACACACAGCAAGATCACCCACCCCCAACACCCAACACACAGCAAGATCACCCACCCCCAACACCCAACACACAGCAAGATCACCCCCCCCCCCACACCCAACACACCGCAAGATCACCCCCCCCACCCCCAACACACCCAACACACAGCAAGATCACCCCCACCCCCTACCCCCCACACCCAACACACAGCAAGATCACCCCCCACCACGCACCCCTACCCCGCACCCCCACACACAGCAAGATCACCCCCCACAAACCAACACACACACACAGCAAGATCAACCCCCCACACCCAACACACAGCAAGATCACCGCCCCACACCCAACACACACAGCAAGATCACCCCCTACCCCACAGGGGTCTGTACCAACACACACACATACACCCCACCCTACCCAACACACACACACACCACCCTACCCAACACACACACACACACCACCCTACACAACACACACACACACCACCCTACACAACACACACACACCACCCTGCACAACACACACACACCCCTACATGTGTGTGTGTGTATGTGTGTGTGTATATAAGTGTGTGTGTATATATATGTATGTGTGTGTATGTATGTGTGTATGTGTCTGTATATGTGTGTATATGTGTGTCTGTGTGTGTGTGTGTATATATAAGTGTGTGTGTATATAAGTGTGTGTATATATGTGTGTGTGTGTATATATAAGTGTGTGTGTGTATATAAGTGTGTGTATTTGTGTGTATATATGGGTGTGTGTATGTGTGTGTATGTGCGTGTGCATGTGTGTGTATATAAGTGTTTGTGTGTGTATATAAGTGTGTGTGTGTATATAAGTGTGTGTGTGTATGTGTGTGTGCGTGTGTGTGTGTGTATGTGTATATAAGTGTGTGTGTGTATATAAATGTATGTATGTATGTGTGTATATAAGTGTGTGTGTGTGTATATAAGTGTCAGTCTGTGTATGTGTGTGTGTATGTGTGTGTATATAAGTGTGTATGTGTGTGTATGTGTGTATATAAGTGTGTGTGTATATAAGTGTATGTGTGCGTGTATGTGTGTGTGTGTATATATAAGTGTGTGTGTGTATAAGTGTGTGTGTGTATATAAGTGTGTGTGTGTGTGTGTGTTTGGGGCAGACTTGGTGCCCACACTGTAGACACACGAGTTGTTATAAGGAAGAGAAAGGGTAATCTCCATCTGGTCCTGAGGGATGTCAGTCACTGCCCCCCCCCCCCCCCCACCCCACCACCCCCCCCACCCCCCCAACCCCCCCACCCCCACCCCCACCCCCATCGGTCAAGTCTGGGCTCCAGAAGTTCTATTTCCAACTTCAATCCATCAAAATATAATTAATATATAATTAACGCATAAATACAAATACGCTGCAACTTTCAGCAAAAGTTCCCCCCCCCCACCCCCACCATTTGACAGGAGCATCATCAACAACGGCGGCCGTCTGAACTGCCCTCTCTCTCTCTCTCTCTCTCTCTTCCTTTCTCTCTTTCTTTCTCTCTCTTCCTCGATTTGCGCGTGTTTTTTCGGTTAAGAGAGAGAGAGAGGTGTGTGCGTGTGTGTGTAGTGCATGTGTGTGTGTGTGTGTGTGTAGTGCATGTGTGTGTGTAGTGCATGTGTGTGTGTGTAGTGCATGTGTGTGTGTAGTGCATGTGTGTGTGTAGTACATGTTGTGTGTGTATAGTGCATGTGAGTGTGTGTGTAGTACATGTGAGTGTGTGTGTAGTACATGTGTGTGTGTGTAGTGCATGTGTGTGTGTGTATAGTGTGTGTGTAGGGGGTGGGGGGTGGTGGGGGGGTGTTTGTTTGTGCATTTTCAAAACCACAGCAAAGCCACAAGTCTAAACCGAATTGCAACTCTCAAACACACGACAACAAACCACGTTTTGCCCCAAAAATAACATCTCGAAAGCGAAAGCTCCGCATAGAACTGCCGCATCGCCACTGCGATCTGAGCCTTCAGACACACAGAGAGAAACCCGTCGGATATTGTGCTTTATTGTAGACCGATTCGTGTGTGTGTGTCTGTGTGTAATATATATATATAGATATGTAGATATATATATATATTACACACATGTCGGTACACTGGGTGCCTGTGTGTGGCTGTTTGACTGAGACAGAAACCCCCAAAAAACTATTGCGCAAAAAACAAGTAGATTTCTCCAAAACTTGAGTCGTGTGTCGATTTCAACAGATCGTACCTTTACGCTTTACTTACTTACTTAGTCACTTACTCTCTCTCTCTCTCTCTCACCCACTCACTCTCTCTCACACACTCACTCGCTCACTCACTCTTTCCCTCTCTCTCACACTCACTCACTCTCACACACTCACTCACTCAGTAGCTCTCTCTCACAAACGCACACTCTCTCTCTCACTCCCTCTCTAACACTCTCTCACTCACTCTCTCTAACACACTCTCTCTCTCTCTCTCTCTCAGTCTCTCTAACACACACTCTCTCTCTTACACACACTTACTCACTCACTCTCTCGGTAGCTCTCTCTCTCTCTCACACACACACTTACTCACTCACTCTCTCGGTAGCTCTCTCTCTCTCACACACACACTTACTCACTCTCTCGGTAGCTCTCTCTCAGCCTCTCACACACGCTCCCTCTCTCTGTGTGTCTCCCTCCCTCTCTCTGTGTCTCCCCCCCCTCCCTCCCTTCCCCCCTCCCCCTCCCCCCCTCTCTCTCTCTCTCTTTGGCTGTGTTCACTGTTGTCTCCAACACGGAAAACACTTTCAGACCCAATCTTGGGTTCCCCAAAACAACGCAGAAGAAACATGTCAAATAGCCCCGGACCCTCCCCACCAGACAGCCCGCGGCCGGACAAGTGACAGAGAGGGATACCCCCCCCCACACCCCCCACTCCTCCCCTCCCTCAACCCCCCCCCCCCCCCCCCCCACCAATGTGTTGGGTTGTGTTTTGTGGGGGCATTTTTTTGTGGGGGTTTACAGGGTTGTCGTGGGGTTGTTTTTTTTTTGATGGGGGGCAACAGAGAGAGGGAAGGATCCGCAGGTGGAAGCATCGCCCGTTAACCCGTACCTGACCGAGAGTGGACGTTGGAACGAATCGATCGATTAGGATCGGAATTGATCGATCGGCGGATCGAACCGACCGATCGGATTGGTATCGAGTTTCTCCGAACGCCCCCAAAAAAAAGGCTTTGCTGCGGGACTGTGAATCCCCACAAACTGATGCTTTAAGACGAGGTGGAGGTGGAGGTGGTGGTGGTGGTGGTGTGGGCGCACTCACACTCACACTCACACACACACACAGGGAGAGAGGGAGAAGGAAAGAAAGAAGGAAAGAAAGAAGAAAAAAGAAAACAAAAGTGCAGTCGACTTGTGCCGAGGAGTCACCTGTGTGTGAAGTGTGTGTTTCGGGGACGACGACATCGCAGGTGGATTGAGGGAGGAAACACAGAAGGAAATAAAGAAGAAGAAGAAGAAGAAAAGGAAGACCGCCAGACAGACACTGAGAGAGAGAGACAGACAGACAGACACTGAGAGAGAGAGACAGACAGACAGACACTGAGAGAGAGAGAGACACAGACACTGAGAGACAGACACAGACACAGAGAGAGAGAGACAGTCGGACTCCGGCGGAGCTCCTGTGTTGTTGATTTCTCTCTCTCTCTTATTTTTGGTCCTTCCCTTTCCTCAAACCCTCAAGAGTTCTTTCCTCTCTCTCCCCCCCCCCCCCCCCCCCCCCCCCCCCCCGTGTGAGTGTGTGTGAGAGTGTGAGAGTGTGAGTGTGTGAGTGTGTGTGTGAGTGAGTGAGTGAGTGTGTGAGTGTGAGAGTGAGAGTGAGTGTGTGTGTGTGTGTGAGAGTGTGAGTGAGTGAGTGAGAGTGAGTGTGAGTGAGTGAGTGAGTGAGTGAGAGGGAGAGGGAATCTTCCTGTGAGCCCTGTGTTGTGATGCGTGTTCCTGTAGATCCGAGCACCAGCCGCCGGTTCCCGCCGCCCTGCACGTCGCTGGGTTCGGGGAAGATGACGGACTCCCTCCCGCTGCCCCCCCCCCGCCCGCCCCGGCGGCCCCGCACCCCCCCCACCCGGACAGCGCCCTGACCAAGCTCCGGCCGGCGGACCGCACGATGGTGGACGTCTTGGCCGACCATCCCGGGGAGCTGGTCCGCACCGACAGCCCCAACTTCCTCTGCTCCGTCCTCCCCACTCACTGGAGGTGCAACAAAACCCTCCCCATCGCCTACAAGGTAATCACTCGCTGCTCTGGGGGGGGTGTGTGTGTATGGTATATATGTGTGTGTGGTATATATATGTGTGTATGATGTGTGTATGGTATGTGGGTATACATATATATGTGTATGTGTGTATATATGTGCGTGTGTGTATAATGTGTATGTGTGTGTGTATGGTATATGTGTATGTGGGTATACATATATATATGTGTGTGTGTGTGTATGTGTGTATATAATGTATATGTGTGTATATATGTGTGTGTATGTGTGTGTGTATAATGTGTATGTGTGTATGTGTGTGTGTAATGTTTATGTGTGTATATGTGTGTGTGTATGTGTGCGTATATATATATGTGTGTGTATATGTATATATGTGTGCGTGTGTGTGAGTGGAAGATAGTATTATTATACATGTTCGTGTCTTTTACCTACATATGTATAGATATATAGATATATAGTTTGCACACACACAGAGCGATGCACAGAATGACCCCAAAGTCTTATTTTTCAGCTGCCTTATTATCTGAAAAAAATCCTAATTTCTTTAAGATTTATTAGACACTGTTAAGACATCATGACTTTTTGGTCATCCTGTATATATATCTGGTACATCTAGATATATATTACTGTATGTATGTATATATATATATATGTGTGTGTGTGTGCATTGTGCAGACATGACATTTAAATCAAATGAAATATACATTTCCACTTCATTTTAAATGAGAGTAGCAATAATCATATTTGTATTATTACTATTACAAATCAAAGTGTTAAAGTTTCGCTATCTTTTTCTGACAGGGTGGGTGGGGGGGGGGGCTGATAATGAGTGACTTTTTTTCAAAAACACATTGTAAATGTATAGCCAGAAGAAGAAGAAAATAACGCGGTTACTTTATACCTTTCCTCAGTGTATTTCTTTAACCACCATTCTGTGTCGAGCCGATCACTGAACACACGCACATATACATATATATATATATATACACTCCATATATTAAAATAATAAGTTTAAGGCGAGTTATGTAATTTGGGGCAGGTCTTTTGACGTTTATCTTTAACATACACACACACACATATCATATATACATATATTATACACATATTATATATGCATATATAATATATATAAGATATATATTTAAGACCATTAACAGTGTTTGGCTTGGGATTCGAACAGCCCCAGTTTCCCTGTTCAGACAGGGAATACACGTTGTTTTTGAATTCAAAGTGAAACTTAACTCTTCATTTCCTTTCTGCTTTTTTAAAAAAAAGACAAGACCGAGAGAGAGAGAGAGAGAGAGAAAGAGAGAGAGAGAGAGAGAGAGAGAGAAAAGCGACTCGCTGTCTGTCTGTCATTAGAATAGGCAAATTCACTGACTTTTTTAACACTTGAATTTTTAATCCTCCCTCTCCACCCCCCCCAAAAAAAAAAAATAATGTGACAGAATTGGGGGCAAAAACGAGTGACCAGAGGGGGGGTTTAGTCAGTGGTGAGTTACATTGCACCTCGGAAATAAGTGTATTTGTTGCAAGAGAAAACGCGGGTGGGTTTTGTGCACTATTTCAAAAAAAATGCAGTAGTTAGAAAAATATATATGTATGTTTAAAATAAATACAGGAGTAAGGATAAGCGTTGCCCCCCCCCCACCCCCACATCCCACTCTCTGTCTCTCTGTCTCTCTCTTCCATGTCCCATCCTATCCCACTTGTAAGTTTGTTGTACTATTTTATATATATGTCGGTAGTTTAGCAAAAGAGAGACAGTACTGACTATAGTTTAACAAAAAAAAACACAAGAAATCTGGGACAATATTCCCCCCCTCCAAAACACACACACACTCCACCAACACACACACACACACTCCACCAACACACACACACTCCACCAACACACACATTTCCCCTCTCCCTTCCATCACCCTATTCAGTAAGTCTTATCTGTTGGCTGTTTGCTGTGTATGTCGACTTACCCCCCAGACTCCACCAACACCCACCCACACACACACACACCCACACACATACACACCCTCTCCCTTCAGTGCCCACTACCCTATCCCACTTGTAAGTGACTTGTTTGTTGGCTGTCTGTGTAGAGTTTCCATCACACCTCCAATTCCCAACCCCCTACTTCTCCTCTCCCTCTCCACTGTCCTACGCCTTATCGCTGTGGCTCTGACCTGTGGCTCCTCGTGTCGGGCTTGGTGCCCATGTAGGTGGTGTCGCTGGGAGATGTACCTGATGGGACCCTGGTCACCGTCCTGGCCGGTAACGACGAGAACTACTCGGCTGAGCTCCGCAATGCTACAGCCGTCATGAAGAACCAAGTGGCTCGATTCAACGATCTCCGATTTGTGGGACGCAGCGGACGAGGTAGAGTACCTTAAACTCTTTCTCGCTCTCACTCACTCACTCTCTCGCTCCCTCAATCACTCACTCACTCTCTCTTACTCTCTCATTCACTCACTCACTCATTCACTCACTCACTCACTCACTCACTCACTCTCTCATTCCCTCTCTCACTCTCTCATTCACTCACTCTCACTCACTCACTCACTCTCTCATTCACTCACTCTCACTCACTTTCACTCACACTCTCTCTCACTCACACTCACTAACACCACTGATGTACTCGCTAATCTGTTTATTCCCCCCCTCCCTCTTTTAACTTAAAACCAAACTTTGGGAGAGTTAGAGAGAGGCTTGTCTCGTCTTGTGTGTATGTCTGTTTAAAGTGTGTGTGTTTAATGTCAGTGTGTGTGTGTGTGTGTTTAACGTGTGTGTGTTTAAGGTTCAGTCTGTGTGTTTAATGTGTGTGTGGGTCAGTTAACACATGTGTGTGTGTGTGTGGTGGTCTGTTTAATGTGGGTGTGAGGGTGGGAGGTAATGCGTAAGTAATGTGTTTTACATGTGTGTGGGTCTGTTTAACGTGTGTGTGTTTGTGTGGGAGAGAGCGGAAAGAGAAGAGGGGCAATATATATATATATATACACACCGAATATATGGTTTAAAATTAGCGCTGTTTCAGTTTGATTTGCAGTTCGAAAGATGCTGGTAATAGATTTTAAGGCATGATCATTCTGCTATGATTCATAATTAGCAGAAGTCTGACACTTCATTAAAGAGATAGAGAGAGACTCGTAGAACAACACTCAATTGTTTCTCAATCTCTGACAGTGCACCTTTCTCTCTCTCTCCCTCTCTTTCGATCCTTTCCTCTTCAAAGTAAAGTTTCACCCAAGACTTTCGTCCACAAAAGATACAGTCAATTTACTTTACCGTATATTCTGTGAAGAGCTTTGAGACGTTCGAAAACATGATAAGACGCTATATAAAATGCAAGGATTATTATTATTGAACACCCGCACCAACAAAGTAGCCACAGCAAAAAAAGGCAATGCAACCTCGTAAACACAATCAAATCTGTTCTTCGCAATATAGTACATCTTGTGTCCCTTCTTCCTGCTGTTTGTGTGTTAAATCCGAGTTGACAGATAGACGGACTTACAGACCATTTTATTTGGGGGAGAGGGAGAGTGTTCGTTGAATTTCCGCTGTTTAAATGATGATGATAATAATACCAATAATAATCCTTGCATTTGATACAGCGCCTTATCACATCATTGAGACATCTTAAAGTGCTTCGCAGAATATACTGTAAAGTGAATTGACTGTATATTTTGTGGACGAAACTCGATGACTGTTTTAAATAGTACTCATATATATATATATATAGATGTAGATATATTTGGGGCGCTCATGTATGCAGAGAGAGAGAGAGAGAGAGAGAGAGTGCGTGAGTGGGGAGTTAAATGTATGACAGAGTCGTTTTCAGAAAGATCATGGGGCTTTTTTTTCCTCTCTCTTTCTTTCTCTTTCTCCCCCCCTCTCTCTCTCTCTCCTCTCTCTCTCTCTCTCTCACCATCTCCCCCTCTCCACCCCTCCTTCCCCCCGTTGGAGCTTTTTTCTTTCCCTACGAAAAATACCCCCACTTTCCCCTCTTCCAAAAAAGAAAGGGCAACGCAAAACCCATTTGTCAGAATGAATCCATCATGAGCAGAACTTCGATGCTTTTAGGTTCTCAGACGAGACAATCTACGGAATTGTAAATCAAATCGAAACAGCGCAAATTTAAACGATATGTAATCGATATATATTCGGGAGATACGCTCCACTCTCTCTCCCTCTCTCCCTCTCTATCCCTCTCTCCCTCCCCACACCCACACCCACACACACATTCATTTCTATTTCTATTTCTATTTCTATATGCATCGGGTTGTAGCGGCCAAAGTTAGTGTTTAAAACAAATGCAAACATATCTGTGCTTTCGTTGAGAGGCTGAGCTGTAGTGACTGTTAATCTTTCGCACTAGATTGGCCCTGCATTAATATTAATAGTGGAAAATAGTTTAAAAAAAAAGACTTAAGGAGCTAATTGCTCTTTCTAGATTCTGATTTGAAAGTGTAATCTCACCCAACGCAGAAATAAATGCGTCAACAAAACTATATTTCTTTATATAATTTGGGTGGTGGGGGGTCTCTCATATAAACAGAGTGTGTGTGTGGGGGGGTTTGTGGAGGGAGTAGAAATATGTATATTTATTATATCAAATAGATTTAAATGTATATATGGTATCAAATATATTTCAATACATGTGTGTGTATGTGTACTTAAAGACATAATATATTTCTAACCCAGTGCATCAACGCAACCAGGTTTAAAGAAAAAAATGTATGAAAATATATATGGAGTTACATTTTTGTGCCCTTTAAACGTTAAATCATCTGCCACGGACTTGGGAAAAAAAGCCCTTTAATTAAGGCAAAATATATGTGTGTGTATATATATATATATATTATTATTGTGGGTCAATTTGCGACTGGGAAAAGGGTGAAGAGAGAGAGAGAGAGAACAGGAGAAAGGGAAAGGGTGTGGTGGGACGGCGTTGGGGTGTTTTATTGACTGTATAAGAACCTTTCTCCACTCTTTCTTTTCTCACTGTGCAAATCGAAATGAAACAAAAACTCCGCTGATTTTCCGCTGTTTTTCCCCTCTCTCTCTCTCTCTCTCCCCCACTTTGCGGGGGGTGTGTGTGTGTGTGTGTGTGTGTATTATATGTGTGTGTGTGTGTGTAAAAAAAAACCCACAGGGAAAAGTTTCACGCTGACCATCACCGTGTTTACAAACCCTCCACAAGTGGCCACTTACCACAGAGCCATCAAAATCACAGTGGATGGACCGAGAGAGCCGAGAAGTGAGTAGCAAAAGACTTGAACTGACCTCAAAACGTGGCCCCCAATGTCTCTGTTTTTTTTTCTGAATGGAGTCGGAAAAATAACTCTCCTGAGTTATGAATGGAGTTGTGTGTGTTTTCCCCCCCCCCCCCCCACCCCACTATTTTTTTGTTGATCCCAATACGTGTGTGTGCGATGGGGCGCTCCTCCCCCCAACTCTCCCCCCACCCCACGTTTCTGTGATTTGCAGAAATTAAATGAGATATAAAACATCAGTCACTATTAAAAAAAAAACACCCACCGGTCAGTGAGTGTGCAATCACCCGCACTGTGTGTGTGCGGTTTTGGTGCAGCAAAGGGAGAAGGGGATAAGGGATTCAGTTTAAAACGAGAGTCAAATTGTAGCAAAGCTGCAGCTGACCTCAGACCCCAGAAACTGATCGGATTTTCCTTTGGGCTCTGATGTTATTTTTGTTCGCGAAGCCGAATCGTGTTGCGCGCGTTGTGTTTCGTTGCAAAAAAAAATTATTATTATTATTATTGTTCTCATTATTGCAGCACCGATAGACATAGGAGAGGGCGATTTTTTTTTTTAGCGTTGGAAGCCAATGCCCAGTAAATAACGATTGCTCTGAAATGAATCATTAGCCCGTTAATAATAATAATAATAATAATAATAATGATCATAATAATGATTTAAAAAATCACTTTGGGTTCACAATAAACCTGATGCCCTTTTTTATTGCAATCGAGTGATTGATTTGGGGGGAGAAAAAGTAGGTCTTTTGTTACGTGGCTTTGAGCAAATTAGTTGACAGAACACAAACTGAACTCCCAACGCTGAAAAAAAAACGACTTTATTTTAATTGTTGCGAAATAGTTGTGTGTTTTTTTTTTGAAGAATCTCTGTGCAATAGAGTCAGGAGGTGGTGTATTTATAACTTCAAATCTGACTGGGTTTAGCATTTTAAAAAAAGAAATAAGATCCTGGCCCCTTTCCTGCAGAGGCGTCTTTGGTTTAGCTCGGAATTGGATTAATTGCTCCTTGATAAAAGTATTTGTGTAGGTGTATGTTTGTAAAAAAAAACAAAAATAAAAAGGGTATAATTTTGAGTCGGAGTGTAAAGATTCCCCGCATGTAACAATCTCTCTGATCACATATTAAATAACCATTTCAGATACTAATATTAATAACAATCCTTGCATTTGATATAGCGCCTTATCACATCTTCGAGGCATCTCAAAGCGGTTCACAGAATATACTGTAAAGTGAATTGTTAGTGTATGTTGTGGGTGAAATATCGCACATATTTATATATATATTCTATATATATTATATAAATATATTGCACAAAACCTTGCTCATTTCTTTACCCTGAATATTTTAACATACACCCTCTCCTCCCCTCCCCAAAGGGTCTGTGTTTTTGTCAAAAAGTACTTAATAAGTAAATAGAAGACTATTTTTAAAAAAAGTTGTTGTAAAAGAGAAACAGACGGTGATAGCAATACAAGATAAATATTGTCAGAATGGTCAAGCAGATAATTTGTCCCTTGTGTTGGGGTTTATCTGTGTTGAGCAGTGTTATTGTTGCTGTAATGTGGTGGTTCTGCTTCGGGACGCAGGTACAAATGAGAAGATGTTTCCGACGTAGAGAAGATGTTTCCACTTGTGGGGAGAGCAAAACCAGGGGCCATAAATACAAAATAGTCACTAATAAATTAAATAGGGAAGACAGAAGAAACTTCTTTACCCAGAGAGTGGTGGGAATGTGGAGCTTGCTACCACAAGGAGTATTGAGGTGAATAGCGTAGATGCATTTAAGGGGAAGCTGGATACGTTTATATCAAGGAATAGAAGATTATGGGGATAGGATTAGTTGAGGAAGGGTTGAATAGATGCCGGCATGAACGCCCAGTTGGGCCGAATGTTTCTGCGCCGTTTCTATGTAATTCTATGTGAATGATATTGAGACCTTTCCAGCGCACAATTAAATCTCGGTGGAGAATTCTGAATCAATAGAGAGACACTTTTCTTGGTTTAAATCATTCAGTGCTGATAGGAAACAGGGTTTGCTGCTTTGATTTAAGTATATATCTATATTGTAAGATAATCGAGATTAATACATATTGCTGCGTTAACAATGGCTAGAAGTGACTGTTCATTAAGCTGATATTCTCTGAAGCGCTTTGAGACGTCTCGAAGACATGATAAAGCGCTATATCAAATACAAGGATTACTAAGATGAGGAACAATAACTGAGTGGTTACAGTGATGAGAAAGGAAGGATATTAAACAAATTCTACCGCAGTTCCTTTCCCCTTTTTGTTTTGATGCGGATGTCTTTAAATTTTAATAGTTTTATAAATAAAAATTTTGCCAAACGGAAATGCATATTTTTCAGCTGTTGTCAGTTCAAATTGAATTTTTATTTGTGTGATGTATGGTATCTTTCCAGACACCGTGAATCAGTACTGTGTTCCGTTCAGTTCTCCACTCCTAGGAGATGAAATCAAAAGGCTATATTTAATGTCTTCTTTTTTTAAAAAAAAGCACACACACACACACGCGCAGGTAATAAGTCCTATTAAATCTCCTCCATCATTTATAACTTCATAATTGTGGAGTCCTGCAGTGTGTTAGTTAGAGCACTCGCCTCGCAAGCGAGAGAACCTGGGTTCGATTCCCGAACAGGGTGAAACGTTAAGCAAGTTCCCTTACTCCACACCCCTCTGTTTACCTCGCGGCAAGTAGGAACCTGGTTGTTAGTCGATTGGTGGATCGCTTTTCTTGGGGATAATAATCCCTTTTGAAAAAATACTACTAATAATAATTTTGTCACTCAATCCACGACTGCTTGTGGGACGCCGCAGTGCGCAATTGACTGCCGCGTTTCACCCACAATGTACAGTCAATCCACTTGACTGCATATTCTGTGAAGCGCTTTGAGACGTCTCGAAGACGTGATAAGATGCTATATCAAATGCAAGGATCATTATTAACCTCCTTTATATGTCTCTTCACCAGCCCCATTATGTTTCAACCGAAATGTCTATGATGCTTGTTAGGTAGTTGTCCAGTTGTTTTGCCCATGCTTTTTCTTTGTTGTTAGAGGGTTATGTTGTTAATTATTTACCGAGCATAATTTGTTTTGAGTTCAATAATTTCTGAAAGCTTTTAATGATCTATTGTTTGGTGAACATCATAGAGAGCAGGGTCTTCAATAAATTGTCCAGTTTGGTTGACTGTGTGTTCTCTCCCGCACCAGGCTCCGCAAACAACAACAACTACAGCTTGCATTTACGTAGCGCCACTCACGCCCCATTCTCATGTGGTCCCATCCCCTCAGCAGATCAAATTCAAGATCCCTTTCCACTCTCCCTCCCTCTGCTGGCTTGCCCCACATTACCTCTGTGACCTCCCGTAACCCTGTTGTCCGGCCACTCCTTCTTCCACTCAGCAAACACTAGATCAGGAAGCATTTTTTTCACACAAAACCGATTGGAAACCTGGAACTTTCTCTTCAAAAAGGCAGTGGATTCTGGATCCATTTACATTTTCATGAATGAGGTGGAGAGATTTTTTTTAGGTCAGGCTGTCAAGGGATATGGGTCAGAGGTGGTTAATGGGACTTGAGATACAGATGACCTAATAGAATGGCGGAACGGGCTCGAGGGGCCGAATGGCCTACTCCTTGTCCTATGTTCCTACGTTCTCCCCAATCCACCCTTTTTCAGCCACGTGGAGTCCTGTAGCTCAGGCGTTAGAGCATTTGCCTCACAAGCAAGAGGATCTGAGTTTGATTCCCGGGCGGAGCAAAACATTGGCCATGTTTCCTTATTCCACATGCCCCTGTTTACCCAGCAGTGTTTACCCACTTCAATCCACAACTCTTTGTGGGACGCTGCTGTGTGCATTTCACCCATAAAATATAGTCAATTCACTTTACACTGCATCCTATGAAGCGCTTTGAGACGTCTCAAAGATATATATCAGATGCATATATCAAATGCAAGGATTCTTCCCCCATTTTGTGAAACTCCATCCCTGAGTCCCTTCACTCCAATCTGGCCTCGAAACACTTCCTTAAGATTATTTTGACTGCACTTCCATCCACCTTTAGCTCTCGACACCCCCAAGCCCCCACCCCCTTTGTCTTACCTTCCCAACGTGCGCTATATAAAATTGTAAATTGTTGCTGCTGTTATTGTTGTTTGTACTGATCTGTTAGCAGTGCATTTCTAAATGTATCATGGAAGGTAACCTACACTCAGCAGTGAGTCGGTTAGTGGATATTTGTTCATGCGAATGAAGCAATTTTTCCCTGTTTTAGAATATTCCTGTATAGCAATCAATTCTCAAGTTTCGTCCACAAAATGTACAGTCAATTCACTTTACAGTTTTATTCTATAAAACGTTTTGAGACGTCTCGACAATGTGATCAAAGCTATATCCCCACAATGCAAGGATTATTATTATTTATATTGTTATAGTCCACAAATATATCTATGAATGCATAAAAAAAATCCTGTTTGTCTAGAACGCTGTGCTTTTATCTGCAGCGAATTGAGGTATACATGAGATACTGGTAGGGCGGGCAGATGCGAGGGTTAGGAGAGAGAGAGAGAGGGAGAGAGAAATAAGCCTTTTTGTTTGCGTAAAGTGAGAAGATTATTTTTTCAGCCATTCATCCAAACCACAAACTTACCTGTGATCTAGAGTTCCGTTCAAAATCACGAGCAACTAATAGATCTCGGATAAAAATTCAGCTTACCTCCCAGCCAAACCACAGAGCTGTGGCAAAAATCATCCTGTACAGTTTGTACACATGCCTGATTTGTTAAACAAGCATTTATTAGTGTATTAGAAGGATAGTTGATACCACAATCCAGGATTTATGAGGTGAACTTTTGGGAAATGCTCATATTTTAAAAGTCATATTGAACTGTTTTAACTCTTACAGCCATTTCTCACTCTACAATGAGAAACTGCTTTAACTCCTCTTCCAACGCCCTATCT